GATTGGCTGTAGTAGTCGTTGCCGCAAGAAAAGATAAAAGTTGGCCATCTCTTACGACAACTTACGACAACGACCTTGGATGCTACTGCAAAGATCCTCCAGCCAATCACAGACTGTTTTGCCCCTACTGCAACTGCAACTGCAACAACTACGGCTACGTTTTAGAACTATAAATCCGGCTTAAGAAGTGCACTGAGACTTTGCGTACGTCTTTGTAAGAATAAAAAAGTATTTTCTCAAATAAAATAGTTTTTTTTCAAGCGGCCATGATATACAACCTTATATGCCTGTATAGAGATAGTTGAAGTGCGTCTTTTTCATTAGCGGCAGACAAAAAACTCAAAAAAGCCTAGGGATAGAAGTAAATCCATAGGTGTCTCAATAGACGTCAAATAATAAAATTAATTTAGAATTTCATACAAAGCAATCACGTTGTATTAATTATATTAATTATAATCGCACGGAATATTTAGTGATTATTTATTAAATTTTAATTGAACGAAATAAAGAACAACTAGTTTATTAGTATAATATTATGATGATACGACGAGTTGCCAATGTCGGAACTCCAAACAAATGTCAGTACGTCAAAATTAATTCAAGCGCACCTTTTTGACAGAGCAGGGTTTATTTTTAGTTTAGGATATTTATCGGCATTGTAAGTAAGGGTTATAAGTTTTTTTAGTTTTTATCAATAATTTCTAATGCTTTTAGCCAAAATTTTATACCACATGAGTTAAGAGTAAATAAAATAATTCCATTGCTTATCCTATTTATATTACGCCCTTGAAAAAAAAATTGTATATGTTATTTGGAGTAGAAGCTCTTTTTGTGCTTCGTACAGTTGCCTGCCTCAGCTACGCTTCGGCCGTCAATCTCTGTACTCACCACAAAAAGAGTCGCTTCTACTCCTTATGACATAATCTACTATTTTACCCGTGAGGAAAAATACCAAATTATGGTATGGCATCACACTGGTAGATCGTATCGCCAAATACAAACTTTATTTCAAAAAATGTTTCAAAATAGGCCTTTACCCAGTGTAGCTACAATCCGGCTGTATGCCGCGCTGTTGCCATATGCTATTATTGTTTCCTAAAAGGGTTGTTTTTCTTATTTTTTAATATTAAAAGTAAGAAAATTAACTAAATCAAATTATTTTTGATATATCATTAATTTTTTTGTTATTTTTAAAGTTTCAAACAAATAAAATTGAACTATTTATTAAATAATTATAATCGTTCTCTTCTGATTTAAAACAACCTGGCAACTACGGTTCGTAATTACTTATTGCTTGGTTTAAACCACGCCCAATTAAAGTTTGTTTCTTTTTCTCTGATCAGAATATAATTTGTCATCCTTGTCTCCAGCGTTACTTACTTGATTCTATACAGTCTGTATATGGGGCAGTCCACGCCAAATCGGCCAAGAGTAAGACTTCATGTTTCCGATTTGCTTCAAATTTTTAGGGTCGATTAAAGAACTAAAGTAATGAAGAAACCTAAAATTTCAATCTCTTTTATGAATTTTTGTAGGTTTTACAAAATAAACAAAAAAAAATGTCACTTCTCTTATTTTTCGATTATTTAAAAACCCGAAAGACAAACAATTTCGAAAAAATCATATAAACATATTTTTGACGCTCTTTAAGGAAGAATAAAAATAAAAAAAAATTGTTCAAAAATTCTCAAAAAAATTTAATTTTTTTTATAAAAATTTAAATTCCCAAAAAACGCCACCTCAAATTTAAACCAAAAAAATGTTTTCCGCAAATTTTGACTACTTATTTTTGGGGGGAGTCAAAAACTGTAGAAGTAATGAATTTTTTTGTAAAGAAATGCATGTCAAATCGTCGCTACAGATCCAAGCCTACGCGTAGCTACGCCGCGGCGCGCCGTCCGAGAGACGTGCGGTCGGTCTAACGGATAAAAATTGGTTTAACGCATATACCTATAACTCGTTATAACTAGTTATAGGTATATGGTTTAACGATTCTTTCTCTCTCTTTTTTTCTCTCACGCACATTAATATTTTCAAACTATATTTTATTAAAACTTAAAATTATTTCTTTTTCTAATTTATTAAAAAATAAAAAAAATAATCAAATTAAAATACATTAAATCAAATAAAATGTATCGTCGATGGTTTAGCAAATTAAAATTTATTAAGTGACTTAAGAAAAGCTTAACATATTTAAAAAAACTTACTATTACAATAACAATGTTTTAGTTTAATTAGGTATTTTTCTAGGTACTCTTCTAGCTCTCGTTAAAAAAATTTAAGAAAACTGTAAGGGTCCTGTAGTATATAAACTTTTAAATTTAAATTTGGCGCTATTTTGACCAAGGAAAATTTAAATAATCCACTAAAAATAATATTATAGTTTTAAGATATTTTATGTATTAAAATCATATTGAGTTTAAAAATTTCACTTCTTTGTATCTGAACGAAGAAATATAAGGGAGACGTGTTTATATTACACATTCTTGCTTAAGTGGCCGAGATGTTTAAAAGCTAGATTAGGAAATATAATAAACACAGAGGGTTTTTGCTCGCCCTTCGAGATACTCCTGTTAAACCGTTTGTGAAATATATTAAGTATAATATAGTTATAGTTTTTGTGATTGTTACCGATTTTCTGCTATAACTACTTAGGTATGTACACTTTGAAAAATTGTAAATTTGCTAGTAATGATAAACAACTCCTCGTTTTTTGCTTATAATTTGCTTATAATTTTGAACAATATTATTTAATTCGCATTTTTGTCTATGACGTTTATCATTGCTAGTTTATTGGGTCCTAATCATTTTAATATGTGTAAATAGCGAGTGATTTTTGGTAATAATTTTTATTGTATCACTATTTCATTATTTTGGTTTAATATCTTGGGATCGCGCATACACTGAGTTTTAATCTTTATGTTGTCGCATGTACACTGAATTACGTTTGACTTAAATTTTACTATTTTGTATTTTCTTTATTTTGAGTTACACTGGCCTTGATTTTGCTGTTTCCTTTTGTATAACTTTGTATAACTTTATTTAACTGAAATGTATTTTATTGTTTATGAAACTCAGTGTATCATCTCGGTATTAAGGTATTTATTTATTTTAACTCTTTGCATTTGTACTCAGGCTAAAGCTTTTAACAATAATATTATTATTATAATATTGGTATTATTTGGGTAAGGTTTTATAAAATGTTATTATTATTATTATTATTATTATTATTATTATTGCTCTTATTATTATTATTAAATTTGATATTACCATTAGGTCATATCATGGTAAGGTAATAGTATCGTTTAACCTTTTGATAGATTCTGGATAGAGACTTTGATTTAAACTGCTTATCTTAGCGCTTTATTTGGAATATTTGATAATGGCTTTAACGTTACTATATATGATAAAAATCTCTTTATGTTATTATTCGGCGCGATACTTTCTGGTGGTTAGAGTTTTGGCCATGTTCAGGTGTTTCTTGTTATGACTCCCTCCTATTTATTATTTTATTGTATTTTATTTATATTTTATACCATTTTATTTTATTGCATATTGTTTATTTTATTTGTGTTTGTATTTGTACTTGTATTTTCGTTTGGAGAGTGCTCATACATGAATATTTGAACATGGGTAATATATTAGCATTATTTCAAAAGGATTTATCCTTAGAAGAAAAATAGTGTTTTTATGTTATTACCTATATAAACTCTGTGTGCAGAATTGTTTGTATATTTTTGCAATACTTTTGTCTTGTTCTGGACATTGATTTTGTAAGAATATTTGAACATATTGTGATATAGCGACACTTTAGTGAGATAGGACCACCATAGCTGTCGTTATATAACTTCGCAGAGTATGCAATTGTTTCATAGTGTGGTTATTGGCTACGGTTAAATATCGGCACTTGGTTAAAGCATATGAATTCTCTCTATCAGAAATATGTCGTTGCTGTAGTTTATTTATATAAAATCGTGTCTTCGTTCAATAGTTCGAAGATGCGTGGTAAGGTAATCAAATAAACAAACACTTCGTCATAAAATGACGATCTCTATTATAACTATTTTACCTGAGTACAAAATGTTTTGAATATTGATAGAAACACCCAAATTATATGAAATATGTTTATCTGCTTTTCATGTTATTTTATTCACTCATTATTTATACGGTATTCTTGTGATTGTGACCCATATGACTATGTTTTGTTTTGTATTTTATTTTTATTTGAACTGTGTAAGTCTCCAGGGTTTTTATGGTCCCTTTTCCCTGTGCTTTGACTCAACGGGCCACCCCTTTGTCTTTGCTTAAATTAAATCAGGGGTTTAAAAATTAAATGCTTGTGTTTCATTAAACCTGACCAATTTCAAAATATCGTTATTATCAATGTAAGTAAATACACAACGTAGAGTCCTAATTTTTATAAAGTAAGTAAATTAACTAGACGATCACGAATATGCCAAATTAAGTATTTCAGTATACTTAAAGAATCGGGTTACGAAAAAACATAGTGGACATTACAAAACATAGGTTTTATTTTAAGTAAGAAGGAAAGAGTAATAATAATTATTAATATTCTATGATTTTACTAATAAATTCTTTGAAAAATATTGTTCAGTTCACAGTTTTCATTAATATTTAATCAGTTAAAGATATAAAATAATAATAAGAATTTTTAGAAAAATGTTAAAGAAAATAGTTAAAAATTAAACTCAAAATGGAATTTTAACACAAGCTGTTATATGTATTATGTGCCGAGGAAACTTTTTATTGGAACGCACTTTAAAAAATCTGAAATAACGCCGAGACACGGGTAATACCCGTCGGGTATCATTTCTTTAAGTCTATTATCAAAATCTATAGGAATTTTTCATGGGAGGAAAAAAATCAAATTTTAAGGTACTGTGTAAGATTTTTATTTTTAATTAAAATTGTATAGGATCAGAAGTTGCACGAAGCGGTATAAAATTTGAATAAAATTTACAGTACAGAAATAGCGCATAACAGTTGCGTGGAATGATTCAGTAAGTGTGTTTGTGTATTATTTTTATAAAATGACATCGCCCATAGTAAATCCAGTAAGTAGAATTAATAAATACTTAATTATGTTTAGGTTGTTTAATTAAGTTGTATAAATCTATACGTAAATATGTTTAAAGGTCACAAATATTGATTAAAAAAGGGAAAATATAGACTATTAAAAATTAGGCTTTTTCTATAAATTAATACAATTATAAAAATTTTAAATGGATTTGTTATATATATATATATATATATATATATTATGTATTACGAGAAAAAACGATTTTCTTGTTCCAACTTTGACGGCCTATATATAGAGATCTCTGTTTTTGTGCGTTTGAGATATATGTTTCCTGAATTAGGTAAATCGTCTTATTTTTTGAAGCTATATCAATCCTAAAAGTTTGTTGATTAAAACCTGGACGACCCTGTATATACAAAAAAAATATATTATTTGTATTACAAGAACAAACGATTTTCTTGTTCCAACTTTGACTGCCTATATAGATATCTCTGTTTTTGTGCGTTTGAGATATGTTTCCTGAATTATATCGTCTTATTTTTTGAAGCTATATACATATATATACATACATACACATACAAACTATATATATATATACATACATACATATACAGGGCCGGCCCGAGGTACGGGCGAACCGGGCAACGGCCCAGAGCGGCATAATGGGGGGGCGGCATTTTTACGATTTGTTAATGATAATCAAGAATAATAATAATCAAGAATTAAGAATTACGCTCGAGAAATGCAGTTTAGATAATTTAATTTCTTTGTTACAAAGATTTGAAAGAATCGCTTTCTTTCATTCGTTTCTTCAATCACATCCTGTAGTTTTGTTTGACAATTGACAATTAATAATTGACAAATATTCAGCGCCGGATTATAAAAATTTGCGCCCCGGGTCTAATAAAAATTTTCCGCCCCTACCTATATAATAAATTCAAAGAAATGTCACTTCTTAAAAGGATTTTATTTAACCATAAACATTAACGTTGTAGTATTTTTTCGAAATTTTTTTGATTTTGGAGATCAAATAAAAAAAATAAGTCTAAAGTACCTATTTGAGTTTCAACAGATAAAAAAATTTTAGACGTCGCTCAAAACTTTTTTAAACCAACCTTTTTTCTCAAAATCTTTGGCTTCTCACTATTTTTTTTGTAGATCGTATAGGAACATAATACATTTTAAGTCAAAATATTATTGGTCGCTCAATATTTTTGAAATACATTTCTTGATTTTTTTAATAATTTTGATCTTGTAACCACTACTATTTTTCCAATTTAGTTGATTTTTTTGAGCGACGTTTATTTTTTTATCTACGCCAGTGAGATAAGAACTTCTTATCCCACTCATTTTGAGTGAGATAAGAAGTTCATTAACGCACGCGTTTTTCTCTGCTTTTAACCAATCAAATAAAAAGTCAAAATGTCAAAATAACCCTAAATTAAGTCTTAGACAAAAATAATTACCGTTTATTTTTCCATTTAGAGGCGTAGATAAAAATTTGTACAATATACGTGTGATAACGCTTTATTAACGTACTTTTGCGATTGCCCAACTCGTGCTACGCACTCGTTGGGCAAATTTCGCATGCGTACGTTAATAAAGCTCTTATCCCACTTATATCGTAAATAACTCTTTTGAGTTGAAACTTGAATACTTTAAACTTAAATTGTTTCATGTGAGCTCCGAAATAAAAAAAAAGTCGAAAAAATATTGCCACCCTAAAAACATAAACAAAAACTATATAAAAAACAAATACCTAAATAAGAAAATTAACATTTTGCCAACTCAACTTTGCGTGCTTTTAGAGAAGCAAATTTGTTTATCGCAATATTGACGTCATCTTTCAATAGGCTAATACCTATACTGTATATATACATACATATATGACTGGTACTGTATATAACTAAGGTGACCAACTGTTCTGATTTAATCAGAACTATACTGTTTTTAAGGTCTTCATTCTGACAGGAAATGGAAGGTAGCAAAGGTTCTGATTTTCCTATTTTGGTTCTGGTCTGTTCTGATTTAGCTTACCATATAAAATTAACTTCCAATTTTGATAAATCCATATTAATTTATTAATAGTTATTAGGTATACCTAATAACTAAAAATAACTGGGCTGAAAACTCAAATTTCATAATAGTTAATTTATAAATATATATATATATATATATATATATATATATATATATATATATATATTGATGGTAGGTATCTTGTCGCCTCCGGCACATAGATAAGGCGACCTGGCCTCCGGGTTTTCCCATTAAGTTAATTTAAAAAAAAAATATATATGGGGTGTTAAAATAATAATCAATCCGGATTTCTTGAGAGGGGAAATGTTTTTTAATTTTTAAGGAATCATATATGTATAAATATGAGGAGCACAGACTGTACGTTGTGACCTCCGAAAATTTATCCTGATGCGTCGTTGTGGCCTCCGACAATGTTAATTATCGGAGGTCATAAAGACACCTATTTATCCGCGTGCTAATTTTTAATATAAATATTCATTCAGGCGGACAGTTTGCTTCATATTTTTTGAAAGTCAAAAACGTTCTTTTTTATTTAGTCCTCTAAATGTAATAATAGTATTATTATTATTATAATGCTATGTAAATATAAAACAACTGTTTAAAAGTTTTAAATGATTTATTTGAAATTTGACGTTTCGCTAAACAGTATAAGCTATAGCTTCTCCTACTGCTACTTTACCTAGATTAATATGGAGTTTTATCAAGTAAAGGTCGAAACGATTAATTCAATGTAATAATTTTTTTGTTTAGGTTTAATTTTAAAAATAAACTCAGTTATAGGATTAGTTTTATTAAGAAACTGAATACAAAAAGGTAAGTACGTATTTCTAAAAATAAACAATTATATTGCAAACAATGTTTTACAAATATCTAAACACCATTTTTTTTGCCAGATTAATTAAATGTTGCAGTTTGGATTTAACGGCTGTAATGGGGCGATTTATATTGTTTTTCTGAATAAAATCTTTTAATTGTCGACCAGATGGATAAATTATTTTTTTTATTATTTAATACGAATCAAATTCTTTCTCTAAAGCATCCACTTCGGCTGGAGTCCATCCTAAAATTATTGTTCTAGTTATCTTTACCTATTTTTGTTATAGTCGGTGGTATATTATTTCCATTTCCTTAAATTAGTTTTTTTAATAATTTAAATTATTTATATTGTTAAAATTCGGTTCCTAATTATTTTTTTTATTTCAATAATTTAAGTTATTGCGTTATAAATATTTTCTTATTTATTTATTTTATTTATATTAGTATAAACGCGTTATTTCGTTTAATTACATTTTTGTGCCTTTTTTCTCTTTAAACATTTTATTTTGGCGTTTTGGGTGTCTTTTTTAATTTTTTAAGTGCCTAAAAGTCAGGTCTTAAGTAGGTAATTAGCCATCTTAAGAATCCATATATGGGGCAAAATTTGCCAAGTGTACCAGGTGAAAAAAATTTTGTCACAGATTTTGTTTAAACTTTACTTATTTGTTGTTCTTATAACGAAGAATCATAGCATAACAATTTTTTGCTCTAGGATTGTTCATTCAAGAGTTATGGATTATTGAAATTTATCGTTTTATTACTTTTTGGTGAAATCGCTTTTTATTTAAAAATTCATAACTTCTGTTCATCTCTTTATTAAATATTTTAATTTAACCACCTTAAATGATTTTTTCCCTACTTTTCAATGGGCTACACCGTTTTTGCAAAAAAAGCTACATTACAGATTAAAATATGATTTGTAGATTTCGTAATTCGGAGGATTTTTGGCGGATATTACTAGAATAATGTTAATTTTTATTTTTGTGGCTAAAGTAAAATATAGAAAGAATAAAGTGTTGGTGTTGTTTTTCTTCAATTTTTCGCCCTACCATACTTTTAAATTAAATTAAAAAAATCATATTTTAATCTGCCGATTGGCAACACAAATATTCTGACTGACCGTTACAGTTTAAAAAGTAAGTAATGTCCGTACGGCGAATGTTTAGAGCTCGTCATGACAGCAAAAACCGTTTATAGACATTATATATTATTAACGCCATTGACCTATTCAGCTTATAGGCAAACCGTTACGGTTATAACAATAAACTTTTTATTTAATATCATCGATCCTCCTTGCGAAATTTATGTATACCCATGCTTAAACAATTTATGCAAAAAAATACAGTTAAAAAAATATATCGTGCGGCAGTGTAAATATTTAAAATATATCATTCACTAGTCAAACATAATTTTACATTTTAAATTATCATTTTGTATTCGTTTACTCGCATCTACTAGGTATAAACACATACGGCAGTGTAGTAGCTATTCGATGGCTAGACCCGGACGCATTCAAATATGAAAAACTTCCCTTCTACATGTCGGGCCCACCCTAAATTTTTTTTTATTCAAAGGTAACATAATAAACTTCGATTTTATGCTATTTTAAAAAAAATAAAAAATACACATTGTTTAAAAAAATGCAAAATATTGCAAAATTTCAAAAAAAAATTGCAATTTTTTTTTGCAAAAACGGTATAGCCCATTGAAAAGTACGGAAAAAATCATTTAAGGTGGTTAAATTAAAATATTTAATAAAGAGATGAACAGAAGTTATGAATTTTTAAATAAAAAGCGATTTCACCAAAAGTAATAAATCGATAAATTTCAATAATCCATAACTCTTGAATGAACAATCCTAGAGCAAAAAAATTGTATGCCATAATTCTTCGTTATAAGAACAACAAATAAGTATAATTTAAACAAAATCGGTGACAAAATTTTTTTCACCTGGTACACTTGGCAAATTTTGCCCCATATCTTAAATCTCCATATTTAATTTAATTTTTTAATTAAATATTTTTAGTTAGCGTTATTAAGAAAAATGTTGGGTTTGATATTTGACATTAAAATAAAGTTGACAAAAGCTGTCTTAATCATGTTAAATTTCTGGAAACGATCATGGAATTTTATATAGTCTAAATAATTTTACATACGGGTCAATATAACGCAAAAGCC